AATAACACATAAATGGCTACCTAAGGGTTTTATATAAAATATATTTAAGGTATTTAAAGCACAGAAAGCCACTGAAAAAGTGTTCGTATAAATTTGGGAGTCATTTAACACAGGCTGTGGTCTTACTAGCCGGTCGAAAAAAGTATCGTTCAAACTGTGGCATTCTGATGTCACTAAAATGCTGATGGATTATACTCCTTTAGAAGTAATTTTATAACAGCCATTTTAATATAAAAATTCAAATAGCGTTGAGCATTTCATGGGATAACACATCTTATATGCAGGGCATTTGGAGATGATTCCTTTGATGTTAAAAAAATAAAACATTGTCTTTAAAGCGTACAGGCTAGATGTATAAAATATTCCTTGGTTCGTATGCTATCTCTAGCGGGTGTTTTTTTGCAGCCATCCTTTGACAACAGCAAATACACCTTTGCGATAAGTAAAAGTTTGTCAGTAAGGTGTCTTTTGCGCGCGGGTGGTCGAAGCTCTGCGAATTAACAGTCGTTGCAGTATGCATAGGCTTGAAATGTCAAGAGCACATCTTTCTGGTTATAAATCAGAGCAGTGAGGTTTTGCTTGACTCTGCCAGATATTAAAAGAGTTGCGTTCATGAAAGTTAGGCTGGTTACTCCCGAAGTGGAAAATGACCTTGGCAAATATGTCTTTGAGATAAGCTGACATTTCTTGCGTTTCATCAGTTTGCATGCGTAGAAGGAAATCTTTGAAGGCCAGTTGTTTATCAAATACTCTTCTAAAGATAAATTTAATTCTCGGAGACGTGGTATAGGGGGAGAGTCGCTGATGTCGGTTAATAACCTAGAAATGACCACTACAGTCCTAGTTTTGCTGGTATTCTCATCACTACCAACTTAATCATTTCTAGAATTCAATTGACCCTAAAGAAAGAGGTCAAAAATGATCTGTTTCTTTGAAGTGGTCACGTAGAAAGAAAGATTGGAGGAACATTATTCACATCCCTTTACCGCAAAGCAACCTATGCGGAAGCAATTATACCCTATGAGGACAACAGTCCAATCTCTAACCTGAAGTATACCATCATCAGCCTGCTACATCGAGCAAAGAAAGCTGCGGAATCGAGCTAAATTACCTGTATAACATATATTTTCCAAGATGGTTAACCTAAACATTTTGTACGCCGATGCAGAAAACAACGCAAGTCTAAAGAAAAATAGAAAGTTCCAATCAGATGCCCAAAAGAAATACACGACTAAGCATTTTTAATATTTGAAATGTGTTTGAATCCGTTGAAAGACACTTATAGATAAAAAAATAAAAGCGGCACGCAAACCGACGGCTACCTACGCATTCATACACTGTTAAAAGATGTCTGTCTATCTCGACAAGAAGCAAGTGGTATAAAAGGTCCCATTTTAAGCTTGTGATGTCATATATTGTGGCCAAACAGTAAAATATAGAGCCACACGCATTCATGAACATCACCTGGCATTCAAATTGTGTGACACTATTTCCCAAGTGTCCATGCGCACCCTCGATACAGGGCCAAACTTAACCTGGGCCAATATTGTCAAGATTTACCTGAGATTATACCTTCCGATAACCCTTGCATCAGTTAGCATATTGAGTAAGATACCTTGTACAAAAAGCATAGGTAAAAATGGGGGAGATGAAAACTGATCAATATAGAGTGACGCAAACGGCGGCAGCTAATTGACACATACCCCAAAAAACTATTAATTTTTTTTAAGCACATTTGAAATGTCCCCTTTTTTGCATATTAAGTCAAGACTGAGGAAGACCTGGGAAGCCAATATCGAACATATACTCAATAAATCTCCTGCCTATCCCAAAACGGATTTGCCATTAGTTAGTTACATGCCTAATAAAAGTAAAGACAAAGACGAGGTAGCACAAAATAACCTTTTTGAGGCTTATTAACCCTCATCAGACAGCCCTTCTTAACTCCAAGTGTTGCAACCCCTGAGGTTCGAACTCGATATCAGTTGGCTAAAAGTCCAACGTCTTAACCGTTCAGCTGTTGGCACGAAAAGAAGAAAGAAATGAGTCAAGTGCCCATGCAGTGTTGACTTTATTGATATATCCAATCACAGCCGGCAGGCTCGTGGGCCCGTGACTTTCGTCCTAAGCATCATGGATTTGAGTCCCATGTGTAGGAGAAACCCGCGGTTGTGTTCGTCTGATTGGTACCGTCCAATACACCAGAACTCTTCAGCCTGTCTTCCTTTATTTTTATTCCTGATAATATTACGCATATACGTGGATGTATAGATGAGAACTAAGTACCAACAAGAAAACGCAGACTAGAATGACAACTGGGTCTTCAGCCACTCCCAACAAATATCAGATCTATTTGACCTGCGATTCAAACCCAAAAGCCCAGCGCTCTGCTTTTGAGCCAGGGACTTTTTGTCTTGTCGGTTATGCCCAAAAATATCACATAAGTCTAAAGGCATTCACAAATTAGGTAAACACTGATTGTTGAAGCTGGTTTTTCTTATCATACCACCATGGCTGAAATGGAAAAACTTGAGTCTGACACATTTGCTTAAGTATCTCCTAATTTTCAGCATCTTGTTCAGATAATGGTTGACTCTAGAAATGGAATTTACTTCGTTCTTAAAGAATAACTGAATGGTTTAGCTAAAACTTATTTTCCAATGGCTCGTAATTTATGAAAGAAAAAACAGTTCCCATTAAGTGGACGGGCACAATCAGGTTCTTTTGCTACCACTCTCCTTCATGGTTGTACTTGACGATTCGAAACTTAACCGCTGCATATATTTTTATTATGGCTCATTTTAACTTACGAAATTAGCTGTCATTTAGGGTACTAACTAAAAGTCAAGATATCTGCCTTGCCGATATTATGCCGCTGCATTGCACTCCTGCGAGGTGTTTGGCTCACTGGTGGGTTCCCTAGCACCCCTGTGTGCTTTTTGGCAGACATTCCAGTTTTCAAATTGAAGCTACTCAGTTTTCTCCTAAAATTTTAGTATCCACCGGAACACCTAAAGGGATTGATGACAGGCCCACTGATGAACCGAAACCCTTTAAAACACTGATATACAGCGGCAGATAATCGGCAAGACACGTGTCTGCACTTTCGGCTAGTACCTGCGCTGCTATTATTGTAAATACTTGCATAAGCTTTACTACTGACTGTCGGTTGGCAGCTTCTGAATATTACATGGTTAGGCCGCAATGGCCAGCGGAATTCGTCCCACAATTTGCATTTCAAATTACGGTCTGTATCTGGAGACTCTTGAATATACTTATCTACTCCCAAGTAGAAACTAATTTGTGTGGAAATTAAGAAGCAAAAATTGTACACTTTTTTGGAACAAATAAGCTAAATTTTTCTCTTATGGTATTGTCCAATTCAGAACAGCAGACTTTGGCTCGTGCTAGATGCAAATAAGCATATGAGTTTCTGCTGTGATTGGAGACATAGTTAATATGAGGTATTGAGCACGGAACTATTAGCCTGAAGGAGCCTATGAAGCAGTCATTCATAGCTGTATGGATTAGTGGAGTTTGTCAAGTATCCTGAACCGCGGTCATCGAGAGGGGCAGACTGATTGCTGTAGAAGGAATGAGAACATTATCTTATCTTCTGGCAACAGTAGTTTAAGTAGTGCACCTCATATTCCCCTAGTCCCAGCATTTTTTCCTACGGATACGGTGGTTATAGGGATTTTATAAGTGGGGAATTAGGATGGACCTTAATATACCTTAATAACTGCTGCATGCATTTTTATCTTATTGTATTTATAAATGTTAGTGATTTATATCTGTAGATTTTCCTAGTCTGTAGTATCGTTTAACGTATTGCGGGAAAACCCGATCAGCAAGCAGCGTCCTAACTACTAGTGCCTTACATTTTTATCTTCTGCGCCTCTCCTTATTATCAGATCTTTGATATTAAACCACACAAGCTAACAGACCTTCTTAATTTTTATACAGAATCGAGTGCTGGATTAGGCCGGTAGAACCCACACGCCGTTAACGCCTTTCCTACGCTGATAGGTCTGAGCAACAGTGTGGGAAGAACTGGACCTAAGGGGATCTTGCCATACTTATTTTTAATACGAAAACGCGTGATTTTTATCCTTTGTTGATACGAAAAGAGACGTTAAGTGTAACGGTGTGGGCATGAATTGAAAGTCTTTGCAACTGGCATAAAATGAGCTTCATATTATTTGTGAGAGGAGGCGTAGTCGCTTTCAAAGGGAAAGCCAACAAAGCACATTTTGTGACTTTATAGCCGTACGACGGGTGATCCCTTATCCCTCCTGGTAATCCAGAGTCTGAATGGAATATATCCCAGTCTTCGCTTTAGCTGACAATTCGAGCGTCATCGGACGGACCGGGGAGAGACAGCGCAGACGACAGCCGAGGCGTGCGAGGCAGGTTGGGAAACGATCGATAATCAGGTGTATCGGGCTCCACCCCTTCTTACGGCGACTTGTGCAGACTGCCTGAGGGAAAAGCCCGACTCCACGATTGGCAGCTGCCAGTAGGGTCGATGCAATTAGTCGCAGAGATTAGGCAGCTCTGATTGGTTATTTGCTTCGCCCGGATGTCCACGTCTTTGACGGCGGACTCAAGACTCAGCGCGATAACTCGAAAATAATAATTAATCACACCTTTCGGTACTAGGCTTGCCTTTTCTTATCTCCGCCTGCAACTAGTCTATCCGTAAGCCTATTTGGGCAGTTAGGTTTGTACATTTTCAACTGAGGACAAGGCAATAAACTGCAATAATTCAAACGGCTAATTTTTCGTATTATTGAAAGCGTAAATCGGAGATACATCGACAACGTGACGTCTGCCTTAATGGAAATAAAAAATGCTGTGGGATCAGTTTTATACAAACATAAACGGCTTCTTTCTGAACACTGAAACCAAAAATCTCATGGGCGCAATTTCGTGTCGGTGTGCGAGAGCGAGAGAGAGAGATCAGGTCAGAGAGCGAGAGAGGGCGCGTGTGAGCAGTTTTAGACGCTGAGTGAGGAACCTGGAGCGGGCGTGCTCGTAAGGAAGCTGGTTGTCATATCGATAGGCAGCGGGAAGATGATGGTGGAATTGTGCTCCGCAGCAATGCTGGATAGTGTCTGGAGGTATCGTAGTTGGAGTGCGACCGGTTTATCGTTGAGCATGAGACTAGCTTCGCGCAGGGCTTTTGATGCGTTTCTTTCTCCATCAGCAGCTATGACCTAGAAATATTTGGCAAAGTGAGGACACTATAATAAAAAAGTTCAGAGTCCCTAGAGAAAAGGAACCCGATGTTTTTATATGCATCCAGTATGTTTAAAATTCTCACTGTTCTACATACTCTTCACGCGTCTGCTGACAACATAGTGTGCCAGAGTCGGAAATTCACAATAAAGTTTGCTGGCATTTCCCAACGAACTTCCTTCACTAAATCATGCGTATTTATACCGTTTGAAGCCTACCTCATGCAAAATGCCGAACTTTGCGAAAGATCGATATTCAGTAAAAACCTTAAACTAATCTATAACTTAAGTATCAAAAGTGTAATATTTAAAATAACGAGACCACATGTACGCCGAAATAACAACTCCAAGTTCACTCATGAGTTCGCATATATTCAAAGAGGAATAAGTGCACACCGATTTACTGGTTTCCCAGAACGTATCAGTTCCACGTAGGTGGTAAAGTTCCTGAACAGGCAACCAGCTGTCAGGCGGATAAAGAGTTCGGGTAGCTTGATTGAGTGCTATTTCGGAATTCATCTGCCTTCATCCTTCTGTGAGCTCTGTTTAAATTTAATTGCCACTGAACTACCTACCAAAATTTAACCATACGCAAATTTTTACTCGTTCCACATTCCATCGCTACCGAACGAAACCCCGTTTGCTTTTAATCAACTTCATCTCGGATAATACATAACGGAAAACGCCTGACACGCACGATCAGATAGAATATACTTGACATTTTGACAGACACCATATGATACTAATTCCTGGAAAAAATCAATGAAATTATATGCAGAGATAAAGGTTTAAACGCTATATTAACAATAACATTTTGCGTATTCATTTACATAAAAACGGTTTTTAATTCTAATACGTGCGTTTAATCATATATTTCGGGTTTTCGACATTTTCGGTTTTCGCAAAATAGTTGTAGCAGTAATTATGTGCTTTCAATTAAGTTCAGCTCGGTTAAATATTAGTTAGAAGTTTTGCTGAACTGATTCACACTGAATCTGGACTGGTTATTAATTCTTTTAGTAATTCAGATATACTTCATGGGTAAGGGTAACCAGGGTACAGTAGCAGTACTTTCCCATAAAATGTAAGCTGAAATTCTTAAATGTATATCCAGCGACAAAGTTTTACTTATGTGCGCTATAATCTCACGTAAGGTTGCCTACTTTTCAGTGAGTTTCTTTCCGGCCACCTACAGTCTGTAGATATGACTATGTAAGTTGTATGCAGTCTACTTTCGATTTGCGAAGCCTCTGCAAAATTAGCTGTATTTTATCGTAAACATACAAAACATTTTCTTTATTTTACTCATGTCCTATCAAATTATATCTTACGCAATCTTTATACTGGAAAAATTGTATCCTTTCGATAAAAAACATGCTATACAATTCCCGAATACGTTTGAATAGAAACTGTATTTATTAAAGTTGAAGGACTAGTTCCCTGGTTTGAAGTTAAAAAAAACGCTGATGGCAGGATTTATTGAATTCAATAAATGTAGCGGCGGCTATTCAACAGCATCCTGTCGGTGCATGAGATAGATAACAAACAGAAACAGAGATCAGTTCGAATTTTCACAGAACGTTAATGCATAGCAGCAAGGGTCAAAGTTCGCTGTAAATAATGTCCAGATGAAGGACACTACATTACAGTGCTGTTATGCGTTGACCTTCTATGAAATTTTAAAGTGCTGTATGCTCCTATTCGTTATCTAACTCACGAAACGATTAAGTGCAGTTGAAAAGCCGTCGCAAAATTTATTCAGATCAATACATCCTGCTGTTTAAGATTGTTTTAAAGAAAGGTTTTAAAACTTGTACCCGTGATTGGCAATCTAATCTTATACTTCTCCATAAGTAATCCTTTCTCATATAAAACATAATCTAAAATTTCAGTTAACATTAATATCAATACGTATATGTATACATGCGAGGGGAAGACGACACAGATTGGCAACGGACTGACACAGAACTGTTTCCGGATTCTCTTGCCTTCATTCAGCCAATCCTAAATCTGAACATCGGAAATAGGCCAGATAAAATTTAGTGAGCCATCGTCAAGCAACCATATTCAAACCAGATATGGAGGCAGTTGACGTGCGAGGGCGTTCTTTTGTTACTTAGCTCGAGTAAGTTTGCCGCAATAACCATAACGTCATTCACACTGCCAATATGAATGCCTGAAAAAATAGTCCGTAAGCGACTGGGGTAACGGAAATCTAAATAAAAGTAAAGATTCAGAAAAACCCGGTAAAAGAGCACACATCATATTCAGATAAGTGCGAGAGGCCAGTACGTAATAAATGCTCTGGTGCATATCTGAATAACAAGTTTCATGTTGGAATCTGCAGGACCGGATGTTTGTTCAAAAACCGAGTTTCAGCAGTCCATATTACAATCGCTAAGGAGAGACATCGCCAGGCTTATTTTTCTGAAATTGTACTCTACCCATAACATTTAGATACTTATCCGAAACGTTACTGGTCACTAGTGCCTTGCTGCTGCAAACGAAGTACGAAAAGTAGGTCTCTATGAAAAACGCAACACACTTTTCTAATTAAGTCTGGTTCTCTGTTGGCCTGAAAGATGCCTTAATGTACTGCTCCAACTCGGTCGTTTCTATTCGCTAATAAAAGTTGCGATAATAACGCCTACGCAGCTTTTGACTGCACTTATTCACGGATCTTTGTGAACAAAACTGCATATTTTGTCGTGTTGCAGTTGCCGAAAAAGTTAAAGCACAAATTTAAGGCTTCGGTAAAGTCTCCTTGTTTAAAATACATATATTCTTATATACTGGATCATTGATGCAAAAAAACAAACAATAATGTCGTAACATTAAACATAACCTAAATACCAAAGCTAACGCTGGAAATAACCCTTAAATTGACTCTAAGCAAATAAAATGTTTTTTTTTTGCTTGAACTAAGCACAAAGTCATCAGTATGACATGGAATTCCTTTTCCTATGTCCCGCTGGGGGCGACGATAGAAGAAATTCTTTAATAAAACTTGATCCACTGATTTAATGAGCATTGCAGTTGGCAAGGTTTGGCATCTCTATTACGAAAGGCATTCACAATTAGAATATTCTCGGAAAATATCATTTTGGGTGGGCTGAATATCCCCGACCTCCAGTCACTCCGAGGCAGACAATTAAATCCTGCAGTTCTTCGAGCAAGAATATCTACCTCTCATAAACTGGCCACCGA